ATTACCTAATATGAACAGAAATAGAATTGATACAGTAATAGATACGATAGAAATAATGATATATGAAGAAGAAGAATGATAATTTTGCATTTCCGAAAATACTTTACTTAAACATTAGCTATCTTTCATTTACTGTAGCTTTCAAAATCTCCAACTAAGATTATCTTTGCAATGACTATAATTTCTTATTGATTGTTAAACTTGCTTGACTTTTTTCTTTTTTTTTCAACCTTCGAATTATAATTCAATAACTTCTCGTCTATTTTCATTTTCATCCGATTTAAACTAAACTTTAAATATTAAAATTCAATCCAAATTGAATTGTATGTATTAAAAATGCTTAATAGTCTTGCATAGTTCCTAAGCATACTGTAAGATATGTGTGAAAAAGTATTTAAGAAATAATTAATGCACTAATTGTAATGTTTAAAGAAATATAAATTAAAAAAATGGATAATATTATTACGTCACAATTTTTTTTCTATACAAAAAAAAAGCTAATAATTAAGCATTAAAATTAACAAAATACAAATTCAATTAGCACCTGTGACAGGTGAACTTTTGTTCAAATATTTATTTGAAATATTTGTATTTTGTAGTGCAAGAAAGTTACAAAATTTTTTCAAATTGTTAATTAATATCATGTTCAGATGTATGTAATAATAATTAATGAGGGAGGAGAGCTGTATTTTGAATATTTTTTAATCTTTGAACTTTGTCATCTTCCTTTTCTTTTTTTTTTTCATCTAACTTAACTACTCAAAATACTCGAGCTTTACTTGATTGGATGAATAATATATCAAGGAAGAAATGGTCAATTCAAATTAAACCTTCATGTCAATATACTTACGTGTCCTAAGAAATAGTAACACTTACCTATCCTTAATTCTTCAAACATTATTTATATGATCGTAATTCGCTATGCAGCAATCATTTTGTTATCAATATTTTTTTTGCTACCGTAATACTTAGTAATTAGTGAAAAGTACCGTATCAATTGCCTTTTTTTTGGATTGCTTCATTGCAATATTGTTTTTTTTAAATTTTAAATTTGGAAATAGATGATTTCAAATAATAGCTATTATCATTTCTATTATTACTTGATAAATCAATGAGTTATTTTCTCCTGTAACATTGTTCATTCTTTTCCGGTTCATTTTTTAGCATACTGTATCAATTGAGCATACTGTATCAATTAAAAATTAGCAATAATTCACTAATCCATTACCAATTTTCTGCGCTAATTTTAACACATTTTCATCTTTTTTTGTAAACCGGTTAAGTTCTTGAAAATGTAAACAAAAAAAAAATGAAATTTTTAAAATATTTTTCATTTAATAATTACATATGTTATGTTTTATATGATTCAAAAATATGCTACTAATTTGCTAATGACCTATGACATATTTTTGTCCACATGACCTTTAACTTATCAATTATGCAAAATTCATGAAAAGATAAATTTTTCCAATCACTATGACCTCTAATTTAGTAATTATGCAAAATTCATGAATGGTTAACAAAAAAAAAAAATGAATTTTGGAGACATTTTATGACAACGGACGATATCACTGTTGTTATCATTATCATGAATTCTTAAAAAAGGAAATTTTGGGAAGTGATTAGTTGTTGCTTCATATCAGTAAAATAATTAAATCAATAAACGCTAATGAATGTGCAATTGTCAAATTAAAGCAAATTTGAATTCATCACTTACGTGTGCAGATTTTTGATTATACGTACGTATAATTAGACGTACGTGTAATGATCGACTTTCACTATTACTGGTCTTATTCTTTTCACATTTAAATATATGACTGTTTCAAATATCTATATATTTTTTTGTTAAATTAATTTTGGTTTTTTTAACTGAGAAATTCTTCGAATAATTTTAAATATGTTTGATTTAATTTTGATCAAACTAAATGTTGATATATGAAATGCAATTAACAAACATGTAATTAAGTAAGAGGATAATTAATTATCCATTACAAAAATTTTGATTATGATTCATTTTCCGAACAAAATAACCGGAATAGCAGGATATTAAAAAAAAAAAAAAGGGTCGATTGAAATAAATTGGAATCGTTAAAAGAATTTGGTAAATTTGAACTCTGTAATGATGTAAAACAAAATGATTACTTTAAAAGATTTTAAATGAATTTTTTTTTTTAAAAAAATAATTGGAATTTGAATTATTTTGCTAATTGGTACAATCGAGCAATGATAAATCGATATATTTATACTTTTTTTTTTTAAATTTGACTTACTAAATAATGCAATATCAAGATATATTATTGATTGATTCATTTTTTTG